TTTTTTTGGTTTTTCTCCGGTACCAGGAACCGAACTCACGACCTTGCGCTTGCCAGGCAGGCGCTTTTGCCGCTGAGCTAAATCCCCAGCCCCTGTTCATTTTATGTTGAATTTGTTCTTAATTTGAATATTTTTCTTCTTAATTTGAATATTTACTTACATAATCTCCATATGAATCCCTTGTTTTCTATTTTTCCTGGCTAGGATTAGACATTGCATCATCTTTGGCTGCTTTTTTCACTCTCACACATGCTGCCTCATCAGCCTCAGGGCCCTGGTCCCTGGCTCTTCTCTCTCCCTGTTATGCTCTTTTCCCAGACATGTAACTCTCAGCTGTCACCTGCTTAGAGGCATCGCTCCACCAGGCATGCATTACATCATCCACTCTGGCTAGCATCATGGCCAGATCACTATTACCTTGTTCATTCTTTAGTTACTGGCTTAGTGTTTGCCTTCTTATTAGCTGAGGATAAGCTCCAGTAAGACTTGTATGTTTTTTGTTTTTTAAAGATAGGATCTTGCCTAGCGTGGTGGCGCATGCCTGTAATCTCAGCACTCGGGAGGCTGAGACAGAAGGATCATTGTGAGTTTGAGACCATCAGCCTGGGCTACAAAGTGAGTGCAAGGCCAGCCTAAACTGCACAGCAAAACCCTGTCTCAAAAAGACAAAAATAAATAAATAAATAAAATAAAATAAAAATAAAGATAGGATCTTGCTGAGTATTCCAGGCTGGGCTTGAACTCACTTGTAGCTCAGGCTGGCCTTAAACTGGTGATGATCCTCCTGCCTCAGCCTCCAGAGTGCTGGACGTGCCATCACCCCGGCTCCAGTCAGGTTTAGTCACTGTACAACATCAGCCTCCCTAACACAGAGCACGGCACAAAGTAGGTCCTCAAGAAATAGTGCTGAACGAGTAAGTAAGTTCCAGTCATGGAATCCGGAGTGAGAAAGTTTGAAGGCAAAGCTGAGAATGGTGTACTTCAAGCACAACTTCAAATGATAATAAATTAACATTGAGCTTTTACTACGTGCCAGGCACTGTGCCAAGTACTCTATATGAATTATTTTATTAATTCTCATAATAATCCTGCCAGGTTGGTGTTCTTCTATTCCTATTTATGAGATTCGGAAACTAAAGAAAAAAGGTAAAAGAAGGTGCCCAAGGTCCCATTCTTAGAAGGAACCAGGCTGGGGCGGGCCGAGCAGGAAGCACTGTGCTTCTCGAGGCAAGGAGGTAGCGGAGGAAATACCTGTGGCCAGAACTTCTGCACCCTTTGAAATCAGAAAAGACTGGTCTTCGCAAGGCCAAAGGGGAAACAGGGAGAATAATCTGTTCGCTGAGTTTCATATGACATTAAGGAGACCCAAAGAGGGTAAATGACCAGGCCCCAAATTAAGCTCCCCACGCCAGCAACTTCCCCGTCCCCTTCCACTTTCTCCTGGCAGGGACCGCGTGGCGCGCATCGGACTGAACGTGATTCTGAACCTGGCGAAGGAGCGCGAGCCGGTGGAGTTGGCACGGAGCGTGGCAGGGATCTTGGAGCATATGTTCAAGCACTCCGAGGAGACGTGCCAGCGCCTGGTGGCGGCTGGTGGCCTGGACGCGGTACTGTATTGGTGCCGGCGCACAGACACGGCGCTCCTGCGCCACTGCGCGCTCGCGCTGGCCAACTGCGCGCTGCACGGGGGCCAGGCAGCGCAGCGGCGCATGGTGGAGAAGCGCGCCGCCGAGTGGCTCTTCCCGCTCGCCTTCTCCAAGGAGGACGAGCTGCTGAGGCTGCACGCCTGCCTCGCGGTGGCGGTGCTGGCAACCAACAAGGAGGTGGAGCGCGAAGTGGAGCGTTCCGGCACGCTGGCGCTCGTGGAGCCGCTCGTGGCCTCGCTGGATCCTGGCCGCTTCGCCCGCTGCCTGGTGGACGCCAGCGACACAAGCCAGGGCCGCGGGCCTGACGATCTGCAGCACCTCGTGCCGCTGCTCGACTCGTCGCGCTTGGAGGCTCAGTGCATCGGGGCTTTCTATCTCTGTGCGGAGGCTGCCATCAAGAGCCTGCAGGGCAAGACCAAGGTGGGGTGCTGGATAGGACAGGTCTGAGTTCAGAGAGCCCTGGAAAAGCTTCCCGGAGGAAGTGACAGTCAAGTGGCACTTGAGGTACACATGAGAATGGAGGAAGCTAGAGGAAGGTCAAGGGGCCAGTATCCTGGCCTTGAACGCAAGACCCAAACTGTAGTCTTGGCCTCTGGAGTCAAGAGGAAGACACTGAGGGATTCTTAAGCAGGAGACCGTTGTGTTTTACAAAGATCCCCCTGGAAAGAGGGCTGGAAAGGATGGGACTAGAGCAAGGGGACCCCATAGGAGCTAAGACGAGGCAGGGAATTGAGGGAGGCCCACAGTGTGTGGGCAGTGGCAGGGAAAAGCAGACAGATTCAAGAGGTTTAAGGAGTGGAATTAAGACCTGGGAGGAGGAGAGCGAGGACATGAGCATGACTCCTGGCTATAAACCTCAACGGCCCTCAGGTCAGGCAAACTGGGTAAGAGGCAGGCAGGCAGGAGTCGGGCCGGGGAGGCAGTTCAGTTCAGTGGGACATGTTGGTTTGAGGTGACTGAGAGATGCCCAGTTGGAACCTGTAGTGAGCAGTTTAACCACTGAGGAAGGGAGACTGGAAAGGAGGTGGTGGCCAGGGACGGAGGTTTGGGATATCCGTGTGTCAGCCATAGCACTCGCCTGAGTCCCAAACAGTCCCCAGGGCCAGGTTCCAACCTGCAGGCTTTAAATGGCTATGTGGCCTTTGGCACCTGGATTCATGGTTTACTTTTGTGGTTGTTTTTGTTGCCATCCTGAAGCTGGAACCCAGGGCCTGTGTGTGCTAGGCTAGGGAGTGCTCTGCTACTAAGTGACCTTTCCGGCCCTGGCTTTATGTTTATCCTCTGGAAAACTGAGACAGTTGAACCACAGTAGCAGTTTTTACCTTGCGTGTGGGACTAACGATAGTTTCATCACCAGAAGTTTATAGGTTTTTTTTTTTTCTTTCAATACTAAAGATTCAAGATTATCACCGTCTCTCCTCTGCATTGCTCTGGGGGGCAGTAGGTGATGCCCTGGGGTGGAGCGCATGCCCTGGCCCATCCTGTTTATACTACAGCTCTCAACTAGGGATGCCTGGAGGAGTGTATCTCCCAGGTGATCATCACCCATCACCTAGGTCCCTTCAGATCCCAAGAGGCCACGTTAGCAGTCTCTGAGGCCTCTTCCAACATTCAATATTTTAGGCAATTCTGATTTGCCTCTCTGTGCCCCAGAACTGGGCCATAACAAGACTTTCCTTCTTGTACATCATTCTGCCGTGGGAGAAGAGACTTTAGGGAGTGAAGGCCCCAAGGATTAGATCTGGACGGTAGTTCTGTTACCCCTTTCCCACCAAGACCAAGTGAGTACAGTTTAACAAAGATGCCGAACCCCTGCTTCATGTCCTTCAGGCCAGGCACAGGGCTCCGGTGGTGACTAACAAGGTCCTCAGCTTGTAGTCTAGTGGAAGTTGCCTTATCAGCTAGTGACAGTGGCATTCAGAGTGTGGCACAAGTCCTAATGGGAGGTGTGAAGCAAGCCATGGAGGAATCAAAGCTGCACACAGGAAGTGCTAGTTAATTTGGGGTCCGATGGATGAGGAGGATTCCCAAGAGCAGGCTGGAAGGATTAAGAGTTCAGGAACACCGTGGGTGGAGACCCAGAGGTGTGAGAGCCTTGGTGGGTGTGTGAGGTGAGCAGGGAGGAGAGGGCAGGGGCTGTGTTGTGCAGCCTGGCCATAGACTCAGAGCTCAGACTTTATCCGGGGCAAACGGAAGAGGTGCAGGCGCAGGGGTGGGGGACCTGCTCAGAATGGCCTTTGCTTTAGGAGCCAGAATCCACGGGACTGGATGATTAGTGGATGACAAGGGCAGTGAGGGGAGGACTGGGCCGCTGCCTGGCTGGTGGACCCTAGAGGCCCTCTGCCGCCCCCTCCTAGGTGTTCAGTGACATTGGCGCCATCCAGAGCCTGAAACGCCTCGTGTCCTACTCCACCAACGGCACCACGTCGGCACTGGCCAAGCGCGCCCTGCGCCTGCTGGGCGAGGAGGTGCCGCGGCGCATCGAGCCCTGCGTGGCCAGCTGGAAAGAGGCGGAGGTCCAGACGTGGCTGCAGCAAATCGGCTTTTCGCAGTACCGCGACAGCTTCCGGGTAGAGCTGCTAGGGGCGGTCTCCCAGAGTTGGAGCGGGAGCATTCCCCGCAACGCGGACTCCCCCCTCCACACTCCCCACCTCGCCCCCAGGGCTGAGCGCTGGGACGGGCGCCTTGGGCACAGTAAACTGGGTCCCCTCACGGCCTGCGCACCCTCCGCACCACGGTAGACTTTGGGGGTTGGAAAGCCTGCTCTGAGCCAAGCTCAGAGTCCCTCACCTCTGATCTGGGGCCCCCTGCCCCTCCACTGCCACCTCCAGTTCCGTTTCCTTGCATGTGTGCGGAGGAGGGGAGTCCTTCCTCACGCCTGACCCCTCCCCCAGGAGCAGCAGGTAGATGGAGATCTGCTTTTGCGCCTCACCGAGGAGGAACTGCGGACTGACCTGGGGATGAAATCGGGCATCACCCGCAAGAGGTACGAGCCCTACCCGCCAGGTCTCAGTAACCGCCCGTCTCTCTGCCCCCAGACCGAGCGTCTTCTCCTCCTCCTCGTGCAGGTTCTTTAGGGAGCTCACGGAGCTCAAGACCTTCGCCAACTATGCCACGTGCGACCGCAGCAACCTGGCAGACTGGCTGGGCAGCCTGGACCCGCGCTTCCGCCAGTACACCTATGGCCTGGTCAGCTGCGGCCTGGACCGCTCCCTGCTGCACCGCGTGTCCGAGCAGCAGCTGCTGGAGGACTGTGGCATCCGCCTGGGTGTGCACCGCTCCCGCATTCTCTCCGCAGCCCGAGGTCAGCCCGCCGCTCTCGGACCCCAGCCCAGCCCCACCCCGCAAGGAGTGAAGGGAGACACTGGTCCAAGGCTCTAAGCCTCCCTGGGGGATGAGTGAACCCTGCTGGGTCAGGCAGGGCTCTGAACACGTAAATGTGACTATGTTGCACTTTGCCCCAGAGAATCTCCCAGTCTGAAGTGGTAACCAAGTGGAAGAAAGGCTGGTATACAAGCGGGCAGCTGGCCCTCACAGGAAGCACACCCAGGACTCCAGCAGAAGGCTAGAGGAGGAAGCACTGCTTACCTTGCCCACCCAGGTCTAGGTTTCGAGGAAGGGCTGCCTGACCAGGTCTGGAGAGATGTGTGGCAGGGGGCGGAGGTAGCAGGAAGGGCAGCCAAGTCGGGGGACGCAGCTTGTGCAAGTGTAAAGGCAGCACAGTACACAGGGCCACAGACGCGGGCGTGGGTGGGCACCCAGGGGATTTATCCTCATAGCCAACAGTTTACAAAGTATGGATAGATTTGGGCTCTAACAACCCTCCTTATTTACTAATTTATTTTCATTTACCAATTACTGTTTAACTAGTGTTTGTCAAATACTGTCTCAGCTGGGCATGGTGGTACATGCCAGTAATCCCAGCTACTCAGGAAACTGAAGCTGCAGTATTATAAGATCAAGGCCAAACTGGACAATTTAGCAAGACCTTGTTTCAAAATAAATTTTTAATATGTGTTGAGATATAGCTCAGGGGTAGAGTGGCTCTGAGTTCAAGCCCCACACCACCACCACTTCCAAATAAATAAATCTTTCATATCTACAACCATTCTATGCAGTGGATGTTAAGGTTTTTTAAAAATCAGGGTTAAAAACCTTTTAAGGAATCAAAAGAGGCACTAAATAAGCATAATAGCATCTAGTTTGAGTTCTGAAAAACATAACCCTGTATAACCTCCACCAAAATCAAATACATAGAACTTTTCCATCATAGACATTCGAAAGATGACAGAACTAAAATTTAAAATTTTAAATAGGGGACTGGGGATTTAGCTCAGCGGCACAGTGCCTGCCTGGCAAGCGTGACATCGTGAGTTCAATTCCCGGTACCAGAAAAAAACCAAAAAAAAAAAAAAAAAAAAAAGATTTTAAATACATTTCTCAGGATTATAAAACCCACGAGGTGACTGGGTGTGGTAGTACATGCATGTAATCCCAGAATTTGGGAAGCTGAAGCAGGAGGATTGCTGAGAGTTTGAGGCCAGCCCAGGTCGCATAGTGAGCTCAAGGCCAGCCTGAACTGCATAGTGAGATCCTGTCAAAAAAACAAAGACAAAAAAAAAAAAACACCATGAGATGCTGGGCATGGTAGTGCACACCTGTAATCCCTGCACTGGGGATTCCTCCTGTCTCAGCAATCCCCTCTCCTCCTGCCTCAGCCTCCCAAGTGCTGGGATTACTGGTATGTGCCACCATGCCCAGAACTTTTTTACATTGCAGCTTCCAATAAAACTCCAATCTTTCATTTTTTAAACACCAGAAAGGTTAGTTGGATATGGTGGTGCACACCTCTAATCCCAGAACTCTGGATGGCTAAGGCAGGATGATTGCAAGTTCAAGCCTGGTTTGGGTAATTTAGTGATTTAGTCAAAATGTGTCTCAAAAAAATAAAAATGCTGGGAGTGTGGCAGTACCAGAAAACACAAACAGGAAGGTCCTAGGGAAAAATAGCTTCTCTAGGGAGTTTTGGTTCTTGTTGCTGTTTTTTGTTCTTTGTTCTTTTGAGATAGTGTCTTGACATACAGTTCAGGCTGGCCTTGAACTCACTATGTAGCCCAGGCTAGCCTCAAACTTGCAGTGATCCTCCTGCCTCAACCTCCTGAGTAGCTGGGATTACAGGTGTGTGCCACTATGCCCGGCTCTAGGGAGTTTTTTGTTGTTGTTTTGTTTTGTTTTTGTTTTTTTGTCTTTTTTGAGACAGGGTCTCACTATGCAGTTCAGGCTGGTCTTGAACTCACTCTGTAGCCCAGGCTGGCCTCGAACTCACAACAATCCACCTGCCACAGCTTCCCAAGTGGTGCACCACCATGCCCGGCTTCTACAGAGTTTTTAAATGGCGGCAATGACATTTGGGTTTTAGAAAGATCCCCCTGGCGGTGTGGCAAATGGAGTAGAGTGGGCAATTCTAGCTGGCTTTGGGGAAGCCACCGAGGAGGCTGTCATAAAGACCTGTGTGGAAGATCCTGGGGCAGGAGCCTAGAGGGTCTACAGTAGGTGGAATCCACAGAGGATGGTGCCTGGTGCTGAGCACTGAACATCAGCTCCACTAGGGCAGAGATCTGACTGTTTGGTCCACTGCTGTATCCCAAGCACTGAGGACAGCGCCTGGCACACAATGTGGGTTTAGTAACAAAGGATGATCCCCAGCTTACCATGGTCTGACTAACAACTTCCCAGCTTCTCCAAGGTTGGTGGTGCAGGCCTGTGTAATCCCAGTGCTAAGGAGGCTGAGGCAGGAGGATCGCCATGACTTGAGGCCAACTTGAGCTACGTAGAGGGTTCCAGGCCAGCCTAAATTACAGAGGGAGACCCTATCTCACAAAACATGTCAACAAACAAACAAAAAGACAGTGTTTCAGCTTTGTGATGGTGTGAAAGCACCACCTACATAACAGTTCTTTTTTTTACGTTAGTACAGTATTCAATAAATCATGTGAGATATTCAACATCTGATTACAAAATAAGCTTTATAGATAATTTTGCCCAGCTGTACACTAATGTAAATGTTCTGAGCATGTTTAAGGTAGGCAAGGTTATCCTGGGGGGCGCTCCCCTCACCGTGCCGTCTCTCCTTGACCTCAGAAATGCTCCACTCCCCACTGCCCTGTACCAGCGGCAAGCTCGGCGGGGACACCCCAGATGTCTTCATCAGCTACCGAAGGAACTCAGGCTCCCAGCTGGCCAGGTAAGGAGAGGCAAGCGGGCAGCTCCGGGCCTTGGCATGAGGCCACTGTGGTGACGCAGGATGTCTCTGTAGCCTTCTGAAGGTGCATCTGCAGCTGCATGGCTTCAGTGTCTTCATCGACGTGGAGAAGCTGGAAGCCGGCAAGTTTGAGGACAAGCTTATCCAGAGCGTCATGGGCGCTCGCAACTTCATGCTGGTGCTCTCAGCTGGGGCCCTGGACAAGTGCATGCAGGACCACGATTGCAAGGACTGGGTGCACAAGGTAGGTGCTGACCTGTCCTCTGCATGCCAAGCTTGACCTGTGGCCCAGGAGACAGGGTGTTCCTCCTATCCCTTTTTGTCTGTATATCCCTGACCCAGCTGGAAGTTGAGAGACACAGCTCTGACTTGGATAGGAACTCAGCAAGGCATTAGGCACTGTGAACCTCAGTTTTCTCTTCTGTGAAATGGGGATAACCTACCTATCCTACTCACCTTGTAGGATTATTGTGAGGGTCAGAGAGGGATAAATATGCTTTGAAAGCCAAGCGTGGTGGTGCATGCCTGTAATCCCAGCACTTGGGAGGCTGAGGCAGGAGGATCGTTGTGAGTTTGAGGCCAGCCTGGGCTACAAAGTGAGCTCAAGTTCAGCCTGAACTGCATAGCGAGACCCTGTCTCAAAAAGACAAAAAAAAAAAAGTGCTTTGAAAAATAACCTCTGTGAGAGACAGGAGAGTGTAGTGTAGTGACAGGTAAAATGGAATCATTGGTAAGAGCACAAAACAGCCTTGTATAGCAGCACATGTCTGTAATCCCAGCACTCTGGGAGGCTGAGGCAGGGGAATCATAAGTTTGAGCCAGCCTGAGCAACTTAGCAACATTCAGTCTCAAAATATAGAATAAAGGAGGGCTGGGGATGTAGCTCAGTTTGAAGGCTCTAGGTTCAATCCTTAGAAACACACACACACACACACACACAAAACACATATGTATCACACCTGTAATCCCAGGTATTTAGGAGGCTGAGGCAAGAGGATCACAAATTTAAGGCCAGCCTGGACAACTTAATGATGCCTTGTCTCAAAATAAAATATAAAAAGATCTGGGGGTGTAGCTCAGTGGTAGAGCACCCTTGGGTTCAATCCCCAGAATCAGGAGAAAGAAAGAGCAAGAGAGGGAAAAACTAAAAGAGCGAGAGGGGAGGGAGGGAGGGAGGGAGAGGGTGGATGAACAAAAACTCTGTAAGTTTGAATCCCGACTCTGGCCTTGGGCAATTTAGCCCCAAGAAACTTTATGTTCATTACCAGAAAGTAGGGATAATAATGGGACCTAACTCCCTAGGCTATTGTTACAAGCTAAATTGTGACGTGCTTAGAATGCCTAGCACAGGATAGCTGCTCAGTAATAACTTTTTTTTTTTTTTTTTGGTCTTTTTGAGACAGGGTCTCGCTATGCAGTTCAGGCTGAACTTGAGCTCACTTTGTAGCCCAGGCTGGTCTCGAACTCGCAACAATCCTCCTGCCTCAGCCTCCTGAGCGCTGGGATTACAGGCGTGCGCCACCACACCCAGCAATAACTATTATTACATAATAATAATTGTGCCCACTACATCTGTTTAACTCCCCATTGCGCCTTCAGTGCATAGCACATAGTAGGAGCTTAGAATACTTCTAGGATGGATGGAGAGATGATTAATGGTCTGCTAATGATTAGTCATTAATCAGTCACTAAGAACTGGGGTTGGAGCTAAGGGATGCAGTGGTCATTGGCAATGAGGTCCTTGTCCTCAAGCAGCTAAGGAGACAAGAATATGCCCACAGTGAGCCAGTGTGGTATTGCATTCCTGTGGCTCCAGGTACTTGGTTTGTGGTTCTTTGTTTGTTTATCTGAGGTACTGGGGATTGAATCCAGGCCTTACACATGCTAGGCAAGCACTTGACCAATGGCTACCTCCCCCGCTGTAGTCTCAACTACTTGGGAGGTTGGGATAGAAGGATCACTTGAGCCTAGGAGAGACCCTATCTCTTACGCGCGCGCGCGCGCGCGCACACACACACACACACACACACACACACACACACACTACGATGACTATATCATATACAAGTTGGCATAAATGCAATCCAGGCAGGTGAACCTCTAACCTGTTAAGGGAATATAGAGAAAGGAGAGAGCAGTGAGGGATGAAATAAGAATGTAGCTGAAGCCAGGCATGGTGGTGCATACCTGTCATCCCAGCTCTCTGGGAAGCTGAGGCAGGAGGATTGCAAATTCCAGCCCAGCCTGGGCAACTTAGTGAAACCCTGTCTTAAGATAAAAAGTGGGTTAGGGATGGAGCTCACTGCAAAGGCCCTGGGTTCAATGCCCACTGTGTCCCTCTCAACAAAAAAGAATGTAGGTGAGTGGAAGAAAAGCCATACCAGACAGGGGAACGGCCTGAGTGAAAGAATCACAGGGATGAGAAGATGCCACAGCCTACATGTGCTATTGCTTCTTCATCACACAGATGAAGAAAGGGAAGCACAAAGTAGAATAATTTTTGCATGCCCACACTGCCAGTGTAGCAACCAGAAAAACTGGGCTTCCAACTCTATCTGACCCAAAGCCCATGTTGGTTCCCAAAACCCAGGGTGTGTTCCATGACACAGATCTGGGGTCCTGGGAGGGGAGGTGGTGGGCTAGGCTTAGATTCAGCTTATACTATAATTGAAGCAATGTTTAAACACATGAATGGTTCTGATCCATGTCTATTAGGTTTACAGGGCCTGAAGACTCGACCTTAATCAAGTTTTGGTTCTCAGCCAGCTGAGTGCTCTTTTTGTTTGTTTTTATTTTGTTTGAGACAGGGTCTCGGTGGTGTGTAGTTCAGATCAGTCTTGAATTCACTATGTAGCTCAGGCTGGCCTTGAATTGGCACTATTCCTCCTGCCTCAGCCTCCCAAGTGCTGGGATTATAGGTGTGCGCCACCACTCCCAGCAGCTGAGTGATCTTAAAGAAGTCATTGCTCTTTTTCCTTGCGTTACCCTTTGCTGGCCAGCCTCTGTACAGTGAGCAGTTTGCACTGTCTTTGATTCTGTGGGCTTCCAGAAGAAACAAATGTCTCAAGGTCCCCAGATTAATGGCACTATGGTCAGAATTTGTCCAGATACTCAGGAGAAGCCTCAGGCCTGAAGCAACCCTAGATTTGGACTCTAAGGGCTTGAGCTGGAGGCCTGGCCCCTCCTGGGCTGGATGTTTGTGTGACCTGGGGGGAGTCCCCTCCCCTGTCTGGCCTTCCTTCCTATCTTCTGTATAACGGAGAGGAAGCCAGTCTAGGCTGCAGTTATGCAGGCTTCCCCCACTCCATGAGGGTGCTTGGCACCATCTCAGAAGCTGGAGAGGAGAGGGAGGCGGGCAGGGTGGTGGCAGCCTTTGCTCTGGACCAGTCCCAAAGGCTCCGTCATCCCTCTTTGGTTGTTTTTAGTGCCTAATGGCCTCTGGTTTCAATACTCGTTTCCCTGAAGCCACATTTAGCGGGCAATCAATATGGAAAACCACAAGGGAACTGCACTCCAGAAAGTCCCACCCCCTTGATCACCCTTGAAAGGAAAACATGATTCAATAAGCACTTACCAGAGAACACATTAATAGTGAGATCCCCAGAACAACCTTGTGCGGGAGGCTTTATTACTCCCTTCACAGAAGAGGAAATAAGAACACGTCTTCTTTCTTTCTTTTTTTGCGGGGGGGGGGGGGTGTACCAGGAATCGAACTCAGGACCTTGCGCTTGCCAGGCAGGCGCTTGTGCCGCTGAGCTCTATCCCTGGCCCTAAGAACACATCTTATTTCCTAAGCATCCATTGTCTGCTAAGCACTGCCCTGGTCACTCGCTGTGCACTATTGCAGTTATTCCATGCACCAATCCTACAAGCTGGGAACTGTCATTAACTCCACTTTATATATCAGCAAACAGAGACGTTGGGAGCCCATTAGATGTTGTGGGTTTGGCAGAAGGTCCCAACCCTCAAATCATGCCTTGGTCTTCTGGTGAGCAGCCCTGACCCTGAAGCTCTCTAAGCCACCACTCCTACTCACTCAGCCCTGGCAAGGAGTCATGTCCTTAGCAAAAGATCCCCGTCTCACTCAGGAGACCGCAGTGGTTTTAGGAGCTCTGGGCTAGCTCTATCCCAGGGCAGAGACCAAAGTTTGTTTTTGTTTTGTGGTACCGGGGATTGAACCCAGGTCCTTCACACTGAGCTACATCCCCAGCCCTTTTTTATTTTTTGAGACAGGGCCTCCCTAAATTGCTAAGTTGCCCAGGGTGGGCTTAAACTTTCAGTCCTTCTGCCTTGGCCTCTCAAGTAACTGGGATCATGAGCATGTGCCACCACACCCAGCTCTAAAGATTTTCTTACCCTATAAGATGGGAAAGAAATGTCAAGGTGGATTTCAGGACCAGGGTCTTTCTCTGGCTAGAGGCCAAGCACCTCCCTGATCCTAAGATCCCCGAGATAAGACAGGTGTCTCTTTTCCTCCTCTTTCTTCTTTCTTCAGGAGATTGTTACTGCTTTGAGCTGTGGCAAGAACATTGTGCCTATCATTGATGGCTTTGAGTGGCCTGAGCCCCAGGCTTTGCCTGAGGACATGCAGGCTGTGCTCACCTTCAACTGCATCAAGTGAGTCCCAAGGCCCTGGGGACAGGGGACAGGGGACAGGGGACAGGGATACAATCACACCAGTGTCCTCTGCCCAGCCCTCTGACCCATTTGGCCTCTGTGCCCACAGGTGGTCCCACGAGTACCAAGAGGCCACCATTGAGAAGATCATCCGCTTCCTGCAGGGCCGCTCCTCCAGGGACTCATCTGCAGGCTCTGATACCAGTTTGGAGGGGGCTGCGCCCATGGGCCCACCTTAGCCAGTCCCCAGTTCCCGCGCCCTTCTGTGAAGTCCCCCTTCCCACTTCCTCCCGAAGGTACGCCTGGCTGGTCTGGGCTGAGACAGCCTGGGCTCTTTCAGGAAGTGGCTCTTGCTGTCCCCACCCTCCTCAGTATGTGGAAAGGCAGGGAAGCCAGGCATGGGGGTGAGGAGGCCGCCTCCTCCCTCAGGCCCTGCCATCAGGTTCCCTGTCTTCCACTCCCACAACTGTGTCCTGGCTTAGTTGTGGAGGGTTGCTGCAAGTTCTCCATCTCCTACCCAGAGTGCCACTAGCTTGAGAAGGAGGAAGCCATGCAGCCTTTGACAGGAAGGAAGTGGGTAGTGCCGAGCCCTCCTGTGCCTGGGCCTCGTCCAAGCAAGAGCCTGAGCCAGGGATGACAGTCAGACTCAGACTGTGCCTGGCCCCCGGCTCACCACTTCCTGCCGCCTGTGGCCTTGCCCTGCAACCACTCAGTGCCCTCACAGCCTTCCTCTGGGGCAGCCTTCTCTGCCACGTCCAGGTTCAAGGTCGGGCTGAGCCGGCCTTCTTGCTGGTCTACGACACAGGAATCTTGCTTGGGCCTGGGACTGGTCAGGGGAGGCCACATCTCAAGCTCACCCTACCACCTGCCTTGGTGCTGTGCCCAAGGCTCCTGCCTGGCCTGGGCCCGCTGGCTTCCCTAGCTCCTCCCCCACCCAGGGCTTCCCATCCAATTGCTCAGGGAAGAGGGGGACCAGACAGCCGCCTGTCAGCAGCAGGAGCCTGGAAAGAACCTACAGTTCTGTGGGCAGGGCAAGGGTTATGACCTAGGGCAGGTTTGCCAAGTATAAAGTACATTCATATCCCTTTGGGACCCTTGTTAAGATTCAACTCAGGGGATCCCAGGTGGGGCCTGAGGGTCTGCGATTCTGATTCCCAGGAGAGCCAAAGTTGGTGGTTAAGGGATGACACCGAGCAGCAAGTCCCTCGGGAATCCCTGCCGTTTCCCAAGCACTGCACTCAGGGTCTGCTCATCACAGCAACCCCACCCAGCATGGTCACTCCCACTTCACAGATAAGGAAGAAAGGCTGAGCGATGAGCCCAGTTTCCAAAGCCACTATTAGGGGCAACCCCAGGACCCAGCCCCAGGCCTCCCAGCACCCAGCCACTGCAGGTGAACCTGCTGTCCCAAGACTCATCCTGGAGGATATGCCCCAGGCAGGGCCATGGTTGGTCCCTTGCCTCAGAGATTTTGGCACTGGGATAGGTTTTAGCCAAAACCCCAACCCAAGAGCTACACAGACATAACAGGGCAAGAGTGTCCCTTGGTCCTTCCCTCTACTGGAGTAGGAAGGGGAAAAGCACCCTCCCCGCAGCAAACCAGTTAGTGGAGCTGGCTGTTACCGCCACGCTGCTCCCCTCGCAGGGCACCATGAGGCTGGCACTGCTCCCAGACCCCTTACATGTGGAGCAAGCCAGGTGCTCCTTGCTTTTAGGGCCACACCATCAGAAAATCAAGTCTCGTCCAGGCGTGGGAGTCTTCCTTCCACTTCCTGTCTTCCGCCAGTCCCAGCCTGGTGCGGCTCTGAGTAGGTGCCATTCTCCCCCTGCCACGCGAGTTTGCCGGTGCAGGTCCAGGCTCTGTCCTGGATGTGAGGATGAGGCAGACTGGGTGCTGCCCCCACAGAGTGCAGTCGATTACAATACAGTGTACGAGCACCCCCAGCGGAAGCTTCCTGTCTTTTTGTCCTCAGTCAGCCCACTCCCCGAGGAGGGCCCCGCGGGTAGTACTGAGGAGTTCCTGGGTTTTCTTCTGTTCAGTACACTCTCCACTGACGTCTACCTCCCCTGTCTGGCCTTCTGGCTGACCTCTTTGCCCTTATCTGTCTCCCAGGATAATCAGAGCCCATCCTCCAGCCCACCCAGGCCAATGTGTTCAGGGGTGACAGCCCCCTTGCAAATACCGATCATCCAGAGCCAACACTGGCTGATCAGGCACCATTGGCCTGCCGCTGCCCCTACCAGACATGGTCCCCCAGGACTGATCCTTCTCCAGAGCCTGCTTCTCCAGAGCTATGCTCGGCTGCGCATAGCTGCTGCCCCCAGTGGGAGCTGAGTCAGCAAGGTCCCTACACTACCTCGCCTACCCTTTCCCAAGGGCCATGAACTGTTTAGAGGCCAGAAGTCCATGCACAATTCACTCATTCTTACCCAGGCCCAAGAAGACAGGCATCTCATTCCAGACTGTACGGGGCAGGAAGATCTCAGAGCACCAGCCTAGTGTGCTCCCTAGCATGTCCCACCAGGTGGGGGCCCATCATCAGACAGCTCGGGGCACTGCTGACCTAGCCCTTCCTAGGGCTTACTCAAGGTCACAGTGAGTCAGAGCCTCTGTCCTCTCCTCACAGCTTCGTGGCGGCGGGGTCAGTGGAAGCCATCTGTGCTTAGATCTCCCAGCTGCAGAGGGGGCAGTGCGGGACGAATCTGGAATTAGTCCAGGCTGCGGAGGCCCCAGCTGGCCCTGAGCTAACTGCATTTCACCTGTACGATTTCCAGTCAGGAAACTGGCTTGCAGGACAGGTGAGAGAGAAAGAGGGGAGAGACAGCAGCAGGGCCAAGCTGCCATGGGCACTTGCAGTTTGAAGAGTCGAGTACCCACTCAACTGGGTCTGCCCGAGGGACGTAAAGCCTTCATCAAAGCCAGTGCCTTACTATGAAGTAAGATTCTGCCTTTCAACTTCCTAACTCCCTAGGGATGGGCTCCTCATTCTCTGGGACTCTGGGGCCATGGATTATACGGAAAACTGGATCCTAGGTTCCCGCTGACTTCCAGAGGGACAGCATACGGCTCTGCTGCAGTGCTCAGCAATGGGAGATATCTGAGTGCTGAGTGGCAACAAAATCTGACCTGCCTGGGCTGGTGCAGCCAGGAAGACCAGCACAGGTACCTCCAGGGAATGCACTGGACTGATCCTCAGGAATGGGCAGCCAGGGCTCCGTCCCAAGCTCATTTCTGTTTTTGTGTCTGGACACAGGGTCTTGCTATGTTGCCCAGGCTCATTTTGAACTCCTGGGCTTAAGCAGTCCTCTTGCTGCAGCCTCCCGAGTAGCCGGGACCGCAGGCGTGTGCCACCAGAGCCGCTTGCCCCATGCTTTTCTGCTGGCCTGATGCAAGCCTGGGGGCCTTCCACATCGCTCAGGAGTTCTGAGAAATCAGATGAGGCTGGCAGGACACACCCAGTGCCACTCCCACAGGCAGTTTAAGGGCACCTGCCCAGGCCAGCTGCTGCTGGTACCTGACCCATGTCAGGCAGACCGGAAGCAGGAAAAGAGACGACCCCAAGCCCAATGCCTTTGGGGACCAGAAGATTCTTTTCAGCTTGGCTCAACTGATTTATTGTGATGACGGGCACCATTAAACCCAGGTGTGGGCGGGCCATAATCGGGATTAATTTCCAATCACAGTGACAGCAGCATTCTCCCTACAGGGGGCGCCAGGTCCCTCCCACAGCTTTCCATCCCCCAGGCCAGCACTAACCACACAGCAGAATTGCCAGTCATGAGAGGGGAACCTAGTGTCGTGCACTTTGCAGTGTGGGCTGGACAGGTGCCAGCCCTCATGCTTCAGCCCTCACGGGCCCTGAAGTGTCACCTCCAACAAGACCGCCTTTCTCAGACGGTTTAAAGGTGATGGATGGTGGAAGGGTGAACAGACCCCTGTCCCAGATGGTCCCTGCTGCTGTCCTTCAAGGGGAGGGTGCAGGTGCTGGGTGGGAGGGGGGCTGGGATCCCAGGATGGACTCGCAATCAGGCCACGCTCGCTCCACTCCTCTGGCCCAAGCACATCAGGGGCTCTGGGGAAACTGCTGGAATTCAGGGTGCGGATTAATCCTTTCCAGTATCCTGTGAGAGACCAGAGAGAGGGGACAGAGTTGACCAGGAGAATCCCTCAACTGCTGTGTGGAGAAGTGACACAGGATTGACTGAGGGGTCCACCTCCCAAGCTGAGAGGTAGAGGACAAGGGCCAGAGATAGCTCTGGAAAATAACTCTTCAGACCACTACAAAAAAGTCAAGGCTAACCCAGCCACAGATAGCTGAGGACGTTCTCTGAGATTCCACCATAGTTTCATCTGTAAAATGGGACAGAGGAAGATGAGAGGTGCTGAGATGAGGGAAAATGGCCCTCAAGTGGCAGCAATGACCTGATGTTGCCCCTCCCTGCCCGTTGCCCTGTGCTTGTGGAACGGCTCCTGGAGGGTGAGGCAGCTGTGAGAGGGGAGTCGGCCTGGGACAGGACACCCAGAGAAAGGTCCCGGGAATCAAGCTGCCATCTCCAGCTGGGAGGCAGAGGAAACCTTCAGGATAAAGGGCTCTGTTGTGAACATGGGTTTAGGGTCCTGCATTACCCAATCAGAATGGCTGGGATGAAGAGAAGGCCAGCTCCCAGGAGGAAGGGGAATCCCTTCATGAAGTTCAGAGTGGCTGGGTAGAGCGAGTTGAAGATGCCGGAGGCCGTCAGCATAGCCAAGCTATTCACACAGGCCACAGCAGAAAAGAGAGCACCTGTGAAGAAATAAATGCCACACTCTGGAGTTTAAAGGACCCATGTTCAAATCCGGGCATGATCCCCCTCTCAACTGTGTGACCTGGGGCAAGTCACTTAACCTAAATCACCTCCCTTGCCTATGTGATAGTCTTTTTTTTTGCGGGCGGGGGGGGGGGGCGGCAATATGGGGAATCGAACTCATGGCCTTGTGCTTGCCAGCAGGAGCTTGTGCTGCTGAGCCACACCCCCCGGCCCGACAGATTCTTAGTCTTGCACAGAAAGGACCTGGCACAGAGAGACTGCTAAATAAACAGCTGCTGTTAAACCCACAGTAAGTCTATGTGATGTGTTCTAATGAAAGCCAAAACGGCTCTTTTGGGTTTTGCACCTTTGGAATCATCCCGTTTGGGATTAAGTACTGGTTTGGTTCTCATTTCTACTGAAGAGTAGTTTATCCTTCTGGGCTCTGTTCTTCTTGCTGTGAAATAAGGCCAACAGCTAATTCATAGACTGTCCAGCCTGAAGCTCACAGATACAGCACCTATCACAGGGTGGTAAAGGCTGTGTTTTGCTCCTGTTGCCCTTGGCGTCTCTGCGCAGTGAAGTGTTGGGAAAAAAGCTAGAATGAATCAAGGCACTTGTGGTCTGGGGACATCAGAGCCCACAGTGGGCTGTGTGTAGCACCAGGATCTCTGTCATTATTAGATCCTCCTTTCAGGGGAGCCCATTTCAGACTGGAATACAGGGACCGAGAGGTCTGAGGAGCTGTTTTTAGTTACGCCAGCAGAATGAGCACCAGCCCAACAGAAATTGAGATTACCCTGTCAGATGGTCAGAGCTGAAAACATCTGTGGATATCATCAAAGGTAATCACTCTCGCTTCAGATGAGGAAGGGGAACCAGGACCAAAACCCAGCTCCCAAGACCCACTGCTCTTAAGAACAGACCTGGGTTTGCATCCTAGCCCCACCATTTTCTGAGTGGCCCTGGGTGAGTCACTTTAACCATCTGTGCCTCTGTTTCCTCATCTGTCAGCTGGGGGCAAGGAAACCTATGTCACAAAGCTGTTCCTTTCCCCGGTCTACATGCTGACCCCAGTGAAGCAGGGAGCCCTGGTGTCATTTAACAGAAAAGCTGAGGCCTGGAGAGAGGAAATGCTTCACTGTGGATATCCAGAAGGAACAAAATCATGCTCAGCTAACTGCAAATCTCAGCTTGATGGTTTGAAAATCTGAAGTAGTGCAGTCCTCTGTCAGCCCTGGGCACTTTAACAGATGTGCATTTGTCTTAGCCACCTTTTTTTCCTGGGAGGAAGGGAGGGAGGGTGTCTCCCAGCCATGGCTGCCCATCTGCCCAGTTCAGGCAATGCTGGGCATGCAGAACAAGTTGAAGACTGATCCTGACACTCACCCTGCTCGGAGTGGCCCACCAACTTGGAGAGCTTGGCCCGGATGACAGGAGTGATGACTAATGACAGGAAGAGCAAGCCGTACCCTGTGGAGAAAGAAAAATCCATCAGGAAAGGAGGGTTAAGGAGAGGAGTATCCTGGTGAGAAGAAGCAGAGCTTCTACACATCCCACATGGAACTTAGGTTAAACCAGGAAGAACTTCTTTGATGGCAAGGGATTGGTGACAGTGATCAAAGTGGAATGCAGACCTCCCTTCTTCAGGCTCACCTATCTGCTGTTTTTCATGAATGAGTGCTGGTTGCCACCAGTGGCTTGCTTTCTTTTCTTTTTTTGACAGTGGATCTCACCATGTAGTGCAGGCTGGCCTTAAATTCACTATGTAGCCCAGTCTAGCCTCGAACTTGCAGTGATCCTCCTGCCTCAGCCTCCTGAGTGCTGGGACTATACGCGTGCACCACCATGCCCAGCTACCAATAGCTTCCTTGTTAGAATACCTCTTATGGCACCACAGGTATCACCTGCCCATTTAGCACTTAGTAGAGATATAGCAGGACACAAAAAACATGCATGAGTTTTGAAGTCAGTCCCAAGTTCAAAACCTGATACTATTGCTTACTGTGTGCATAGCCTTGGATAATTTACCTCCCTGAACCTGACCCCAGTCTATAAAAGGAAGATAATACAGCCTCATGACAGGGTGGTTCTATATTGTAGGAGGTTGGATATCAGGTCCTAAACCCTGGAACCTGTAATTGATGTAATTGATGTCTTATTAGAAAAATGGGTCTTGCAGATGTGATTAAGGTTAGCATCTTGAGAAGCACGGATTACTCTGGATTCTTAGGGTAAACCCTACATGCACTTATACATATCCTTATAAGAGGGAAATGGAGATTTGATGCAGACAGAATGGAAGAGGCACAAAGAGGAGGAGAAGGCAAGATGACCACAGAGGCAGAGACTGTTGATGCAGCCACTAGTCAAGGAGTGCTGGCAGACACAGGAAGCTGGAAGAGGGAAAACAGATTTTTTCCTGGCACCTTTGGAGGGAGCATCACCTTGTTGACACCTTGATTTTAGCCCAGTAATATTGACTTTGGAGTTCTGGCTTCCAGAACTTTGAGAAAAAAAATTCTATTGTCTTAAGCCTCTGAGTTGTGGTAAGCTGTTACAGCAATCTTCTATACAGGTTAAGAGGTATGAAGACCATGGCCTAGCAAGAAGATAGTGAATGTGAGTTTTCCCTTTGCATTTAGTTATTCACAGGCATACCTGGTTTCTCATAACTATTCTTCTCCTTATGTGACTGCTGTCTCCTAGACAAAACTTCAAATTCCTACATGACAGTGGACCTTCCAAAGTGGATGTATGATGAGGCATATCAGGGCCCCTTCAAGGGTTAGGATACCCCAAATTCTACTTTGTTGAGACTCCTCAGTGAGTGAGAAGCACCTGGTCCTCTCAGCTTCATCATCAGAGAAGCAGCTGAGTTAAGAAATCTGTTTTTAATGGCTGACTTTGTACACAAGAAATCTGAGGGTTTTATTAAAGTAAATCTGCTGGGGATATAGTTCAGTGGCATTGTGGCCTGCCTGGCAAGCATGAGGTCCTGAGTTCAATTCCTGGTACAAAAAAAAAAAAAAAGTAAATCTTTCCCTTTAAAAGATATTAACTTCGGGGCTGGGGATTTAGCTCAGCGGCACAGCGCCTGCCTGGCAAGTGCAGGTCGTGAGTTCGATTCCCGGTATCGGAAAACAAACAAACAAAAAAAAGATATTAACTTCTTTAACCAGCCTCCCCCTTGCACAAAAAAGAGAAGGAGGAGGAGGAAAAGGTGATAGCAGAAAGAAAATAAGCATGCACAAATTTCAGATCTGTGGTCTGAGAAGATGGACTTTTTAAAAAACCCAATAAAGCTGACCAAGATTTGAGGTAGGTCCTATAATTATTATCAAGGCATTAATGGCATGGACTTTGTTTAAGAACACCATGAATAGGCTATGAGAGGCCAAGGGGTGAAGCAATTAGTGTATGAGCCATACTTTTGTCTTTTGCTCTATATTACTAATAATATTTATGGCTGATAAATGCATTAAGTACTTTGGCTGTTGAAAACAAGTATTTTCCGTACACGAAAGGCAGCATTTTTCGGGGGTTTCCTATTTGTCTGTCCTCCAGTCCAGGCTGGGGCATAACTATGCTTGCAAAGACTCAGGCTTGAACCACATTTGAGGGCAATAAGTGGTTGGTCCTTAGTTTTCAACCAGTGTCCCTAGCACTAGCCCACACTTTACCTGTGAACATGAGGGGTGTGATGGTAGCAAACGCAAAGACAACCATCCCCAGGATGTTGAAGGCCAGGCCAATCTCAGCCACCCAGGCGTCGGCCAGGCAATACTGCAGAAGCCGCAGGCCCAGCAGGCTGGTGAGGTAGGGGAGCTGCTGGGCTGCAGAACCATAGCCGATCAGCTTGGAGTCCCAGCAGAGGGGCGTGCTCAGCTCATAGAGGGTCAGGATGTCCTGGGCCCCAAAGTGCACAGTGATCACCACGAAGATGGCCAGTGAGTACAGGGCTATATGCTTCCTGGACTTCTTGGGGGCTGGATCCACATACAGCTGGAAGATGGATCGATGGTGGCGGAGGGTGAAGAGTTGGGTGGCCCTTGGCTCCTTCACAGTCTCACCAAAGCAGAATGCTGCGTAGAGACTCATGACTATCAACAAGGCCAAAGCCAGCCAGAAGGGGTTGGCGTAACCCTGGGCCCGGAGCCAGTGGCCTCCGAGGAGGCTCGCCAGCATGCCGGCCACTCCAATGCAGGCTTCCAGGAGGGCTATTCGGATGGTCCGGTTTCGGGTAGAGCTAACATCTGCCACAGAGGCAAAGCTAGCAGCCAGGAGCCCATTGAAGTCGCCGAGAAGGCCACAAAGGATGCGGCCCAGCACGAAGTAACCAACGTGGAGCTGCAGCTGTACCACAAACACAGACACCACGGTCTGCAGCAGCAGGCCGAGGGAGGTGAGCACCAGCACGGGGCGGCGGCCCACGCGGTCACTCCAGGCTCCCAGCAGGGTGGACGAGAAGAGATCCACCAGGAAGCCGGCCACGTTCATGTAGAGGGTCCAGTGGGAAGTGAGAGTCTCCACTTCCTGCAGGGACAAGATTACCAGGGTGCAGCTCCTCACTCTCGTTGCCTACCTCTGCTGCAAATAATGCCATCCTGGGAGCTGCAGACTTTCTTTGGATCCCTAAATCTCACAGATGCTTCTTACAGCTCTCAAAAACCGACACTGGAGAGGGCGATGAGAAATGGACCTGGCCCTTTTCCCCAACTTTTCCCCACTTTTTTTTTTTCTTTCCCTACTTCTGTTAACTTTTATTAACCCGGAAGGCCAGGCTTTCTCTAGGTCCACAGACCATAGTTTTCCCACAGACCCTTCTGAGCTCCGGCCCCGCCCACCATGCAATGCACACCCCCTCTCCGCTGCCCCCGACCTTGCCGTGGGCCCCGCCCCTCGGCGCCCCTCCCCCGCGCTCCAGCCCAGGGCCCGCCCCCTGCCGCGTGCGCGCGCTCCGCGGCTGGGCTGGGTACCTGCTGGATGGGGTTGGCGGTGTGGTTGCCACAGTCCCCCCGATCGCGTGTGCCGTTGTACCCCAGGTCGGTGCTGAAGCGGTGCCACAAGTACTGCGTGGTGAGCGGGCCCTGCAGGACGAGGGCAAAGTTGGCGAGGAAGACGAGCGGCTCCACGGGGCCGCGGAACAGCACGGGCGCCGCGGGGAGGGCGCGGGCCTCGGCCGGGGGGCTCGCGCGCCCCTCCATGAGCAGGCGAGGCCGGAGCGTGACGGGCTGCGCTGGACCAGCGAAGGGAGGCCCGGGCCTGTGCTATCTGCGCCTGCGCCCGAGGCCCGCCTCGATTTTAAAGTCGGGCGGGGCGGGGCGTGGGGGCCTCAGTCCCCGGTCTCTCGCCCTGCCTGTTCTGGGCCGGGTGTGGCTAGGTGAGGAGCCCTGTAACCCTGGCTGGCCGGCTCGCAGGATGACTCCACCTGTACCCCGCGCAACGATACTGCTTTGCAGCCCTCCCTTCTGGGCTCAGAAGCACGCAAAGCAACAACAATCAATAATTAACATTATTGAGCACCTACTGCTAGGCGGGTGGACATCAGCGGTCCTGAGGGACAAAGGGGATCCAAGATAGCATGCTTTACCAGTTGTAGTTAAGTGAAAAACAGCCCTTGTTGTGTAATGCGTTATAATGATTTGTTAGGTCTCAGACCCAAAATGACCCCTTGGTGCACAATCACGTCTTAAGATTATGCGCTGTGCACATTCACTGTGTACCTGGCCACCTGGTTATCGATTTCCAAAGCAAGGAGTATAGCGCTGGGGTGTGGGCATAATTGCCATGGCCTACGGCCTAATGGTATCAGAAAGGAAAGCATTCTCTAAACACCCTTCCACCTTAGGCTGAGGCCTGATTTTAATTAACTTTTTTTTTTTTTTTTTTTTTTTTTTGAGACAGGGTCTCCTTATGCGGTTCAGGCTGGCCTTGAGCTCACTTTGTAGCCCAGGCAGGCCTCGCACTTGCAACAATCCCCCTGCCTCAGCCTCCCAAGGGCTGGGATTACAGGCATGTGCCACCACGCCTGGCTTTTATAAGTTTTTTACAAGATTAAGACCTCAGAGGAAACACTAACCATCTGAAAAGAACAAGGAAGACATTTTACCATTTTAAAGTAACGTCTAAGAAAAACATTGATAAACATCACCAAGAGTAACTCTCATGTGCATAAAAAATACCCAGATGCCTACATGCCTGCCTTCTTGCTTGAAAGCGTAAATCTCTCTATAGCTGATGTACAGTAAACCCTACCTACCTACCTGTTCTGCACCACAGCCTATGTCTCTGAACTGAACTCTTTCACCAAAGCACAAAGGACAAGCAATGGGACCTGACTTCCAGGTTAACACTAGGTGCTGTACACAGAACTAAAATCCTTTATATACATTAATGTTTGTTTGTTTGGAGACAGGGCCTCACTGCATAGTTCAGGCTGGCCTTGAACTCACTATGTTCCCAGGCCAACCTCAAAGTCAAGGCAATCCTCCTGCCTCAGCTTCCTGAGTGCTGGGATCGGTGCATTAATCTTTTTTTTTTTTGGTTTTTTTTTCAGTACTGGGAATCGAACTCACTACCTTGCGCTTGCCGGGCAGGCGCTGTGCTGCTGAGCTAAATCCCCAGCCCCATCAGTGCATAATAATCCTAGAGGTTTGCAATAATCTTAGAGGTTAGTCATAATAATCTTGCAACAATCCTAGAGGTTAGCCACTATTAATGAGCTGAATCCGCAGATGTGGAAGTAAGGTCAGGCACTCAGACAGAGGTGGAAGAACCCATGACTGTGGATGCGTGTGCTGGAGTGTGGCAGCCTCTGGCTGGCTCCCCTGAGGCTGGAATACCTGGCTCTGCCACTTCCCTCCCTCTGCCTCCTTCTTCAGGTGTAAGAAAACCTGCCTGAAGGAGGTTTTAGAAAGAGTGGGGTCTGGTATATTGAAAGTGCCGTTGTTGTTCCCACTGTCACTCCAGTACCCTTTCCTTTGGGGCCTGGGGTCTGACTGCAGTTCCCTTGGAGGAGCAGAATGCAAAGAGAAGCAGTGGAGGGCGGCACCTGCCTTACTGTCCTGTCATTTATTAGTCCACTTATTTGGCACATTGGCTGAGGGCCCCTTAGGTACTGAGAACACAACAGTGAAGGTGACAGACAAAGCCCTCACCGGGCCTCCTAGTTCTTACAATGGTGGAGAAGTGGCAGTCAAAGACTCCTACTAATTGATGGAAAATTCTAACCATGCCAAATGCTTTAGGAAGAGGAGTGGTACCCTTAAAGGGTGCTCCTTCAGGATCTGATGGGAGAGCAGAATCAGGGATGGCCTTCCCTGAGAACTAATGGGGCAGCTGAATGGATGGATGTCTGGAGGCTGCCCCTGCGCTGTGTGTAATCCACAGGCTAGATTCTTAGGGCTTAAGGCACCTCTGTTTTTGGCCACCACGATGAGACTGTCCCTGGACTTATTGGTACCCACTGGCGGTCCTCATCTCTCCTGAGTCAGAAAGTATCTGACACTCAGAATAGATGGGTGTTGGTGCCCGCCCCTCCTGTGGACATGCAGAGACAGGCAATTTCACATAAGCATCCAAGCTTCTGGATGCTCCCTCACCCCCACGCAAAGCTTGGCCAGTTAGATCAGTTGCAGGAGGGAAGGGGTGCCCAGCTAAAACCTTCCCAGATAAAGAACTAAGGCTGGAGAGACCAAAGTCCCTCAGCTAGGAGTGGTAGAGGTTGTGGTTCATGCCAGAGCCAAAACCTGTGGTGCCCAACTAACCAGAGACCCTTTCTGATTCCTTGAGCACAGTTCCAGTGACACTGGCATTGCTGTTCTGTTCAGACCATCCAGTGGTTTCCATTTCACTGCATGAAAGAAAGCCAAATTGTTACTGGGTAGCTCCTTTTAAAAGTAGCTCACTGCCAGGCATGGTGACACACACTTATAATCCCAGCACTCTGGAGGCTGAGGCAGGAGGATTGTTGTGAGTTTGAGACCAGCCTGGGCTACAAAGTGAGCTCAAGGCCAATCTGAACTGCATAGAGACACCCTATCTCAAAAAGAAAAAAAAAAAAAAGCGATTCACTAAATAAATGTTACCAGGTTTTGTGGTATTCATGTTTCCTTCTGGAGTTGTATTCCAGGTTCTTTTTGTCTCAAAGAACTGAACAAAATGAGCAAATCATGGTGACAAAGTTTATTTGAAAAAATAAGAATGAAGAGTGAAGGAGAAACTAGCTCTGCAGAGTGAACTTGGGCTGAGTAAAAGAGGAAAAAGCAAGCTAAAAGTACACCCTGAAGGACACAGGGCGGGTACTATCAGGAAAGTCACCATAGCAAGCTCCTCTTGGCATCTGTGTCCTTTTATACTGGCCAAATCTCAAGGAAATCCAGAAGAACTTCTACGTATGAGTCCTGAGAAGTGGGATCCCACACCTCAGGCTGATGTCAAGTCTATTTTCTTTTATAATCTTTTTGAGACAGGGTCTCGCTATGCAGTTCAGGCTGGCCTTGAGCTCACTTTATAGCACAGGCTGGTCTCAAACTCGCAACAATCCTCCTGCCTCAGCCTCCCGAGTGCTGGGATTACATGCATGTGCCACCACACCTGGCTTGATGTCAAGTCTAGGCCATCCTCTTAAAAACCTGCTTGAATTTTTAGGAGAAATCCATGTGCAGGGCTCTGGATACTGTTCTGCCCATGTGTTCTGGGATCTTGTAATTAACAGGTCACGCCTACTTCATCAGTCATCTTGCCACACGCTAATCTCCTGTCTCAGTATCACTATGCTAGCCCACGATCACCTGTGCCACCAGGCACACTGCCTCCTCCACTTTCAGCAATCTCCTGTCTTGCAGGCTCTGTCCTTGCCTCTCCCTCTATCTGGAATGCTCTTCTGCCGGACAGATAACTACCTGGGTTCTCTCACTTCCCTCAGGACTACCAAAATGTCCCCTGACTCTAATATATGACAGACTGGCACTCCCTAACTTCTTACCCATTTTGGCTTTTTCCATAGCATTTATCACCATCTGAATTCTTAGAACTTGTTTCTTTTTCAGTCCTGGGAATGGAACCCAGGGCCTCGTACATCCTAGGCAAACACTGTTTCATGGAGCTACACACCCAGCCCCTGGCTTTCTGGTTTCTTTGTTGTCTGTCTCCCTTTAATAGAAGTCATGTCACAGAGGCTTGGATTTCTCCAGGACTTGTATCCCCAGCACATGGAATGGTGCCCACACTGGTAGATGCTCAGAAGACATGGCTGACTGAGTTGATACACTTCACCCCAAGAAGTGCTTCCCTTACTGGAGCCCCTGACAAGATACAGTGCAGAAAGCAGAGTCCAAGAATCTGTATCTTTAAGGGAGGCAAGAATCACACCTTCACCTATCTACTCAATTAAAAGACAGGGAGACTGAAGTTCAGAGGGGACAATGAATTACCTAGGGGGAGCTAGGTTTCTTTGGTTCCTTTAGAAATGTGGCATATACCTGTAATACTAGCATCCTTGAGGCTGAGGCAGGAGGATTGCAAATTTGAGCCCTGCTGGGGTACCAGCAAGACCCTGTCTGGGGAAAATAAGGGGGGCAGCTGGGAATTAGCTCAGTGTGAAGGCCTGAGTTCAATCTCCTCTATCACCAAAAAAAAGAACAAAGACTTAAAAATTTTGACTTTATGAAATAACAACCTTGATTCCTCTGCCTCCTTTATCCAAGCTTGACCTTGGATAAAGGCCAAGCGTCAAAAGGCCTGTGAGTAACACACACAAATGAGCCCTTTTCAGCACCTGAATAAGGAAAGAAGCACCAAGCCTTTGCTTTTGTTTTTGTGGCCAACACATCGACAAAAATTTCACTTTCAACAAGAAAGCACAAGGCTGGTAAGGCTACTGAGAGAAAAATGCCGCTGAAAGAGGGTGAATGTGTCCTTTCTGGAAGCAATTGGGTAACCCTCACATCTAGGCCCTTGTATCCTCAAGGGCCACATCCGAGTCTCTAGCCAAAGGGAGTAACATGAAGTACAGAAAAAGGCCTTATGTTGAAGGCAGAGGAGCAGAACAGGAAAAAAAGAAGAAGCAAGATATATCATGAACAGGTACAAATTCTCTGTGATGAATACTATCAGTATGTCTCTAAAATATACCAATAAAAATAAAGAAAAAGGCCTTATGTGCCAAGATAGTTTCTTTGACATTATTGACAATTGTAAAAAGAAACTGTAGACAACCTACTGATCAACAACATATCCATCAACCAATATGTCCTTAAAATGATATATTCAAGGAGCGGGCACTA